TAGATAGGTTAGGCCATGTTGTGTGTTGGGTTGTGGGAAGAGAGATTGTATGTTGGGTTATGGGATGAGAGACACTAGATAGGATAGGCCATGTTGAGTGGTGGGTTGTGGGATGAGAGACACTAGATAGGAAAGGCTGTGTTGGGTTGTGGGAGGAGAGACACTAGATAGGTTAGCCCATGTTGTATGTTGAGTTGTGGGAGGAGAGACACTAGAACACTAGATAGGAAAGGCTGTGTTGGGTTGTGGGAGGAGAGACACTAGATAGGTTAGCCCATGTTGTATGTTGAGTTGTGGGAGGAAAGACATTAGATAGGATAGGCCATGTTGTGTGTTAAGTAGTTGTCGGTGGAGAGACACTAGATAGGTAGACCATGTTGTGGGTTGGGGTGTGGGAAGAGAGACACTAGATAGGATAGGCCATGATGTGTGTTGGGTTGTGGGATGAGAGACACTAGATAGGAAAGGCTGTGTTGGGTTGTGGGAGGAGAGACACTAGATAGGTTAGACCATGTTGTGTGTTGAGTTGTGGGAGGAGACACAAGATAGGCCATGTTGTGTGTTGAGTTATGGGAGGAGAGACACTAGATAGGTTAGGCCATGTTGTGTGTTGAGTTGTCGGTGGAGAGACACTAGATAGGTTAGACCATGTTGTGTGTTGGGTTGTGGGAAGAGAGACACTAGATAGGATAGGCCATGTTGTGTGTTGGGTTGTGGGATGAGAGACACTAGATAGGATAGGCCATGTTGTATGTTGAGTTGTGGGAGGAGAGACACTAGATAGGTTAGCCCATGTTGTATGTTGAGTTGTGGGAGGAGAGACACTAGATAGGAAAGGCTGTGTTGGGTTGTGGGAGGAGAGACATTAGATAGGATAGGCCATGTTGTGTGGTGAGTTATGGAAGGAGAAACACTTGATATGATAGGCCATGTTGTGTGTTGAGTTATTGGAAGAGAGACACTAGATAGGATAGACCATGTTGTGTGTTGGATTGTGGGATGAGAGACACTAGATTGGATAGACCATGTTGTGTGTTGAGTTGTGGGGGGAGAGACACTAGATAGGATAGGTCATGTTGAGTGTTGAGTTGTGGGAGGAGAGACTCTAGATAGGTTAGCCCATGTTGTGTGTTGGGTTATTGGAGGAGAGACACTTGATAGGATAGCCCATGTTGTGTGTTGGGTTGTGGGATGAGAGACACTAGCTAGGATAGGCCATGTTGTATGTTGAGTTATGGGATGAGAGACACTAGATAGGATAGGCCATGATGTATGTTGAGTTGTGGGAGGAGAGACTCTAGATAGGTTAGCCCATGTTGTTTGTTGAGTTGTGGGAGGAGAGACTCTAGATAGGTTAGCCCATGTTGTGTGTTGGGTTGTGGGAGGAGGGACACTAGATAGGAAAGGCTGTGTTGGGTTGAGGGAGGAGAGACACTAGCTAGGATAGGCCATGTTGTGTGTTCGGTTGTGGGATGAGAGACACTAGCTAGGATAGGCCATGTTGTGTGTTGAGAGACACTAGATAGGATAGGTCATGTTGAGTGTTGAGTTGTGGGAGGAGAGACTCTAGATAGGTTAGCCCATGTTGTATGGAGGAGAAACACTCGATAGGATATAACCCATGTTGTGTGTTGAGTTGTGGGGGGAGAGACACTAGATAGGATAGGCCTTGTTGTGTGTTGAGTTGTGGGAGGAGTTACACTAGATAGGATAGGCCATGTGGTGTGTTGAGTTGTGGGAGGAGAGACTCTAGATAGGTTAGCCCATGTTGTGTGTTGGGTTATTGGAGGAGAGACACTTGATAGGATAGCCCATGTTGTGTGTTGGGTTATTGGAGGAGAGACACTTGATAGGATAGACCATGTTGTGTGTGGGGTTATTGGAGGAGGGACACTTGATAGGATAGGCCATGTTGTGTGTTAGGTTATGGGAGGAGAGACATTAGATAGGATAGGCCATGTTGTGTGGTGAGTTGTGGAAGGAGAAACACTTGATATGATAGGCCATGTTGTGTGTTGAGTTATGGGAGGAGAGACACTAGATAGGGTAGGCCATGTTGTATGTTGGGTTGTGGAAGGAGAGACACTAGATAGGATAACCCATGTTGTATGTTGAGTTGTGGGAGTAGAGACACTAGATAGGTTAGCCCATGTTGTTTGTTGAGTTGTGGGAGGAGAGACTCTAGATAGGTTAGCCCATGTTGTGTGTTGGGTTGTGGGTGGAGAGACTCTAGATAGGATAGGCCATGTTGTCTGTTGAGTTGTGGGAGGAGAGACACTTCACAAAATACCAGCTTGTCTCAGGATTTCCATTCTATTTGATCAAGGTAATATGTCAAAACCTAGCAGTCTTAACTGAGCAAATGTTTAGATTGTTATAACTTCAAATATACAGTCGACATGCCATGTACAAATGTAAACATATGTTTATATAAACAAATTTTCCTTTTGGAATGGAAGTCTGTAGTCTGTAAGAAACAAAAAATGATCATGCAAACTTTAGTAAAGGCTGCTCGAGAATATAAAATGACTGGGAACACCTGAGTCCAATACTGTGATGTTCTTGTGGCAATAGAAAAAACTTGTGCCAGGGGTCAAATTTTTGAACATGGAGAATGCTATTTGTATTTTCCATCAATTAATGCAAAGTTAAGAAATAAGTCAAACGAGAAGCAAGACAGCAATTCTACATGTTGGAGCTAGGGAAGGTTACACATGTTTACAATGGTTTTCTCAGAAAGCCAGCGATATGTCTGAATTTTGTCATTTTTTGCTATTAGTCGTAGTCATTATTAATGACTTATGTTAATATATGTTTGTATACAGTGTAGGTAAAATACAGGTGAAAGCTAGGCAACAGCTAATTAATGGGGTCAGTATGAGGGGAGTTTATAAACTATTTCTGGAATTTTCTGATATGTGTCATATGCGTTGGTTATAAATGTCTGTAAGGTTTACTGTGTGACATGTTTATGACTATCATTTGCGTAACAGAAGATACAAAACAAGATGTTGGTTAATAGATACGTGAAAATGTCTGAATGCCACGTCATGTTGTAAACACAGGTGAACACATTATATTAGTTAAGACATTGTGCATAGCCATAGACATTTTAAAGGAAATTCACAGAAGACATTTGCACATATTTCCAGACATTTTTGCTTCTAAAATTTGTCTCTGACAGACACCATGAAAGAATTAATTTCCATAATTTTGAAGTGACTTGATGGCAACTGAAGGAGCTGTATAGATAATAGATCAAGAGAAAGGTGCAAAACATTATCCAAGTGATTCAAAGAAAACAGTTACAGTAACAAACAACTCGCTCTTGTCATTAGATAAGTAGGTTAATTTTATCATCATACCAGTCTAAAGGATGCTTTGAAGGCTTGCTTCAAAGTCCAATGTTTAGAAAAATCAATACAAATTTCAAAAGAAGGAAATAAAAAGGATTTGCAGTTCTCTTGACAAAGTTTTCTGTAATGTGTAACCATGATACAACTCTGATATAAAAGAATTCCAAATGCAGCAAAGGGTAAGTTGACTTTGGGGAGACAATTGCATGAAAAGACATCCGCATTTTGTCATCACTCTGGCAACTGCATTCCTGCGTGGAGTGTTCATCAAACTTCAAGTATTTATCATACATGTGAATACTTTGAATGAGTTCATGTTGCAGCAGTCCAGGGTCAAGGTCAAGGCCACCATTACTTGTTAGAGAACTGTTTGACGTTGCTCTAGTGGCTACAGTCCTGCACTGATTTTGATCAAATATCATATACTGATCATGCACGAGAATAGCTCAAAGGAGTTTGCATTTCTGGGTGTCAAGTTCAAGGTCGCCATTAATATTCATAGAAATTTTTTTTCATCTCTCTACCTAATCTATTTCTGCATTGATTTTGACCAAAACCCTATATTTGTCTAGTTTGACTATACTTTGAATGAGTTTATGTTTTTGATTTGGCTTTTGAGTAGGCTTTATGAAGTGAAGTACATTCTGTATGATAGTACCTTGAGCATTTTTTTGTGCTAATGCTAGAAGCCATAACAAGGTACTGTTAAATCTATAGTCTTGAACCACACTTGAGGGGATTTATATCGCTTGTAACACCTGGTTAATACTACAGTAAAGCTTCAATAAAATTTCCAGTGTTTCAGTTGCCAGCTTGCTTAACACTAACATCTTTCTATGTCTCCCTTTCTTCCTAACAGTTTCTATGTAGGTGTCCCTCAATATGTTACCAAACCTCTTTATAATGCCATAGCTGTGTCGAACAAATCTTTACAAGGTTTTACAGTACATCCAACACCAACTCCATTGAAAAATAAGATTCTCCAATTGATTATGATTGTCTTACCAATGTGTACCAAACACTGATTCGCTAATGGTAAAACATTATAGAAAATAATGTGACATGTGTTATTGTTGAAATCTCGCTCAGATAGAACACACTACCTTTCTTATTGCATGTTTGATTGATACATTAAATGTTTAAATGTAAAGATAAAGAACCAAATATAAACATTTGATCTGGCAGCCTGACTTTGATAAGCTTTGTAGAGAAAGCAGCTGTGTTATAAGTCAGCAGATCAACATGTACTGATGGGCTATTTCTCTGTCGATCCACAGTGCCTTATCTCTGTGGTATTGACGGATCACTGTTTGGATAAGAAGCCCAACATGTACACCCACAACATTTTGCTGACTTGTGTTTGACGAAAAAGACTTTTCTAGTCGATGTTTGTTATTGATCGTTGAACAGTGTGATTAGCACTATGTTCGTACAGTCAGCAACACCACATGTATACATGCTTCACCTTCTCCGAGTGGATGATAACTCACCAGTGACTAAATAGGAGTTTTATATCTAGTTAACCGCTCATTACAAGTGCTGTGTATTGATGAATATTTGGTCTGGGCCTTGTTTGTGATCCTCTTGGAGCCTTATTTCTTGTGTAACATGTGAAGTCTAACAGTTTCTTACTTCCTTTTACAGTCGGATAACATTCAACACAAAGATGCTTTCACACCTGCTTCATCAATACCTCACTGTCTTTGGAGCTGTGTTGACCTTGGTTACCGTGGTGACAACCTCAACTTATCATGACTACTGTATTCTTGGAGCAGGGCCAGGTGGTCTCCAGATGGCGTATTTCATGGAACAAAGCAGCAGAGATTACATTGTCTTTGAAAGAGAAAATACAACAGGTATGTATTTGTCTTTTCAATGTTTTGTGCATTGATAAAATATTGGAATGAATCTTTTGAAAAAACAACAGTGTTTGTAATTTGATGTCCCTACTGTCTGGACTAGCTCCCTAACTTTACCATTGAACTAGTTTGTAAGCTGTTGTCAGGACTAGTTACCCTAACTTTACCATTGATCTAGTTTGTAAGTTGTTGTAAGGACTAGTTACCCTAACTTTACCATTAATCTAGTTTGTGATTTGTTGTCTGGTCTATAGCTAGTTACCCTAACTTTACCATTGATCTAGTTTGTGAGTTGTTGTAAGGACTAGTTACCCGAACTTTACCATGGATCTAGTTTGTAAGTTGTTGTAAGGACTAGTTACCCGAACTTTACCATTGATCTAGTTTGTATGTTGTTGTAGGGACTAGTTAGGGCCCCGTATCGGAGATACGGGTACCCTATATATATA